GGAGTCCCCCGACATTAATGCAAAGAGAGTTGGGTACTTATCTAGAGGTTCTCAATTCGTTGCTAAGTATGCTTTCCTTGCCCTGGAGCCTCGAGGGTGGATAACCTTGGGAGGCCCCGAAGCAATGCTCAAGGGTATCATCAGTGTCTTATGGCTTTGGCTTGTGTTGTGTAGTGGCTGTATACACGAGGCATGTCAATGGTACAAGGGCTAACTTGAAATGCCCAGATCCCATCGGTAATCTGCAGCCTGACATACGTAGAGAATGCAGCATCAGAGTCTTCGATCGAAGCAAAAACAACATCATGAGTAGGGATGCTAACTCGAAGTATATTGTGGCATCGAGCACTTAGGGTCCAAACATCGGCCACCTCTAAGGACAGCAGAGAGCTGGTCTCTTTAGCAGAGCTTATTCAAGCAACACCTGAGGGGTACCGCTATCACGAAGGCCCAGCACCAAACGAGCTGAAAAGGAGCCCGGAGGCACGGCCAGCACTCGCTGAGTCGGGCCTCCCGAAAGCGAAAGCAAAAGGCTCACCTCTGGTCAAGCACGCCTCTCACCTGCAGCCGGCAAGTGCGGAAGCCAGAGGGAGAGGGAGCACCCGCCGCGACACGATACCGCCTTCAGAGACCACCTCGATGAGCGAGAGCTTCCTGTTGAAGTCAGGAAACGTCGAGCACCCCACAGAAGCGGCTGCTTCCGAGCAAGGCCTCCATTGTATAAGCGACGACGTCCAGCCCAAGACTGCACCCGGTGGTGCGGTTCGTAAGGAACGGATATTCTCATCACCACTGAAGAACCCAACAGAAGTGGATGACGCTGGTCCCAACAGACGCCATGATGAAGTTGTATGCGTATCGATCCCAGTCGAAGACCTCCATAGTGCTTATGGAGATGACCTCGAGGCACTTTGTGAGGGCTTAGATAACTCCATTACGATACGAAGCTCCTTGGGGTGAAGTTAAGTGGATTATCCTATGCCACGTTTCCGTTTCCAGGTGCTACCACGCTGCCGCTAGATTACGCGGCTTCAAGAGGATATTGAACCGAGTCGAGATAGAAATCAGTGTTGGTCTGCTTGGGGAGAGGAGCGCTTGCAACGGAAGTACGGCTGGGTGAAGCGATGTTCCCTCGAAAAGCCCATCTCTATTCGTCGGCTATAACAACACTATTCCACCTCCATCAGATAACGATGAGTGTCGGCATCCAGGAGTCGTCCTGGACGCCAAAGCATTAGGCTACAAACTCTGTCGGGTTATACAAGATGGAAGCTCGAGCGTTTCCAGAGAACTCGATCCTCAATTTGCTACACTTTTCCAGCGGTAGCTCTGCAGCTACTCGAGGTGCAACTCTCGCATATCCTCATTCTTTCAGAGCTGTTGTAATCTCGTCCGAAGAGGCCATCAGAGACGCGTTGCTTGGGACGCAGGTCATCGCTTGTCCACTCCTCGCCTCTTGACATTGATGCTTGGCGAGGATATATTGCCCTGGTCACTCTCGAATCAGGCTCGAATCGGCAGCTTCCCGGCTCGAGCCCCATGGGAGGCACAATCGGCCGATCTAGAGCGGTGAGCCATCGTCTACGCTGCCGCAATATCGTCGGTGACAACCATCAGGACGCTGTCCGCCGTGGTCATTCAGCGATATTGGAGGGATTTCAAGGCTGCTGCGACTTCTCAGTATGATCGCTGGCCTTCCCATGAGGTGAATACGGACTCTTGTCGAAGCCCAAGTCTGAGAATCTCAGACACCTTGGCGGAAACAGAAAGGAGTCCTTCCATGGAATGTCAGGAAATGGAGGGGGCGGACACGACAGTGCGGAGGAGGCTGCGTATGACATTCTGTGGAGCCTAAGGGGCACTGCCACGTGTCGCATCAACTCATATTCACCAGCTCAACCAGCGATGCTTCTGGGCATTACCATCTGCTCAGGCATTCCCCAAACCGCTGCGAGACTACTTCAATACCACGTTTGCTTCGCACGATACAGTGGGAGAGTCACCGACGAATGGAGAGGCCTTTCAAGGCTCTAGCAGAGCTAATGTACATAAGCTACAGGTCTGCATCCAAGCAGCGAACATAAGGATGCTTGGGGGCAGTAAGGCCATAGGAAAGTATCTTGAGGATACTGACGTCGTTTCCAGAGTTCTTGGGTAAGTAGATCACCCAACTAGGAGTGAATTAGCTGTCGTAGGTGCTCATCTGCACTAGCACACATATCTAAGCTGACCGTGAAAGGCCATATGGTGGTGATGGAACTGAGCCTACGGGTCAAAACAAGCGATGGTATATGCTATGGGAATCGTAGGTCCTGGGCTGATCATTATTCTACATGCGTTCGCCTCCTTCTCGCCACCATTGACACGCTGACAATGATGGTGAGATTACAGTGGCATCAATGGTGTCGTTGGTCTAGCTTGATGTTATCTGGCGCTATCGCAGTGATGCGCATCCCGTGGAGACACTGCTTCCCTAAGCGCGGAAATATCACCTCCGAACTTAGCCATTCGGCACCACCCTTTTCAGCTGACTGCGATCATACTGGCGTCCCAGTCTATTCCAGCATGCTGTGTTCAAAGATGGCACAGATGATCGAGGGCCCTCCCGAGAACTTTAGTAACTACCCAAGACTCCTGGCCCTATTGAAAGGGTAGGAGACTTGCCTTCCGCACAGGAAGACTGGCGCTCTCAGTGCCACTATTTGGATGCCAGACGACTCACTCATTCCGGGATCAGGAAGTCGGCTTGCTGCCGTGGAGGACCCTATGAGACGACGGGATGAGGTCAGCGTGGGAAAGTCATAGCAAGCCAGTGCCATCCAGTGCAGGTGAGATGTTGGGCAGCGATACGAATCCAGCGGCGCTTTCGTCGTCACCTGAGCCGCGATGGGTGGTCTGTGTATGTCACCCAGCCCTGGAGAATGGCTAAGGAGCCAAGCTGGAGACAAGTCGAGAGGTTCCCTTAATTTTAGGCTACATTACATCTGCGCGTCGTTCCACAATTTCTAGGTTTACTGATGCCGCAGTCATCATCCAGCATCACTTCCGCATCTGGCGTTCCTGGAGGCGTGGCAGAATTGCTGCGGAACAAGCGTCTAATCAACCGCATGTATTTGAGTTGTCCAAGACTCGCAAAAGATCTCGACATCCAGGTTCAGTGGATCAGTAAAGCCCATCGGGTGGGCTTACCGTGGGAAGCATAAGCATGTCCCGTGGAACTGATGCTCTCATTCCGATTACCCTGCTCTTTGTGTTGCTGGGGCAAGTAACATCCCTCGGGTCGGGTAGGTGTGATCATCACACCTACGAGACGCGAGGGATCACACTGTGATGAAATCACACCAGGCCAGTGATGTATTGCGGCTCCATGTGGAGCAGGAGATTGTTGAGCTATACTTCACGGGAAGCTCGTACACGTTTCTTGCGTGCATGTGTTCGTATGCATGTGGAGACTGTGTTACACATTCTGTGTACTCTGCACGGTGCGTTCCGGTTTTGAACTGTGGTTGTCCTATAACGTGATGTGTCTCTGAACTCGACATGAGAAGAGGAGAGGGAAAGAGAGAGGCAAGGCGAACCACCGTATAGCTAATGAGGTGAACGCATTCACATTTGCGTCACTGCAAAGCTGTCTCCTTCATAGACTACATGCACACTGTCTCGTTACAGAGGTGATCCCACTAGCACAACGTTCCACTAAGCTCTAAACTCTCGGGACAACAGTGGGGGGGCGGGCGAGGAAAACCTGCCCTCGACAGCGGGTAGGGCAGGTTAGGGACGCCAGAACTTGTGAGATCGAGGTACTTGCTTGCTGCTACTGTTTCGGGGCGCGCGCCAACATCAGCGCAAGATTTACAAGGGACTTGAGACAGCCCTCCAAGCGTGGATCAGCTTGCCATATCACATACATCCACTTCACGAGTATGACCGTGAAGTGTGACTTCTGACGGGCAAAGTGCGATGAACCTGATGGAAGCGGTCGAAGGCCTTCGTAAGTCATTAGTGCTCTGTGGAGTCGCCATGAGGAGCGCAGAAGCTCACTGGAGTTGTCGGTGATATATAGTAGTTAATGTTGTTGTGTGGTGGGGTCAATACACCGAACTCTATCATGGACGATGAAGAGGCTATCGCCTCGGACATTTACGATTCAGTTTTCTCTATTCGGTGGCACGTGGCGCATGTGATATCAGACAGTGCAACGTCCATAGCAGAGGTCCCTCCATAGACACTGATAGAGAGCTTGACTGAGCTATCACATGCATTTAGTTATCAGGTCTTTCCTTCCCACTCGGAATAACATTGTTCTAGGCAGTTTCCTGTTAGTCTCGATCAGCTATGCCTTTCCTCACCATACCAAAGCGGACCTCTCGATCTCAGTCTGCTGATTGTGGCGGTAGCAAAAGTGGTCAAGAAGCTCTGGTCAATCAAAAGGGATATGCAGTGGAGCTTGTGCACGCGGAGGTTCAAGCGGGAGGCCACACTGGAGATGATAGTATGTCTCTGATGGGGTCGCGAAGGTCCTCGACTTCGTCCCGTAGTTATGGTGTGAACACTCGAATGTTGATTGGCGTCGATGTATACACAGGAACCGATAGAGTGAAAGTCGTAGATATTGCAGTGAATACTAACAGGGATGATGTTTGTGATGATGAAAGTGGGCTTACCTGGGCTGAGCGAGACAACCTTGCACGGGAAGTAGCTGCGTTGAAAGTAAAGGCTTATGACTTCGCCAATAAGGCTAGTCAGCTCACAGGAGTTGAGGAGCAGCTCAGAAGTAAGACGAGATCGGTGTTTGGATAGGAGAGGTCGATTTGTTGTTAGTATTGGGTGAGAAGCGGCTAGAAGCTGTCGATGCTTTAACTATTGTGAAGAGGCAAGTCCAGGAGGCTACAAACGCTAAAGAGCATGCACTGGCTTCAACTAAAACAGAAAAAGAGCAGCTCATGGATGTAGCATTCAATTATTCATAGACCTAGAATATGATAAACACGATCTCAGGACCTAGATAGGATGCGCCGCGAGAAGCGACGACTAGAGAAGTATGTATACGACCTGAAAAAGGGAAAAGTGGGATTGTATGCATCTTGTGGCTCCTCGATCACTTCACGTTACAGGAGAGTCTCTGTCAAGAGGAAGAGGCTGCTCGGCTGGACTTCAGAATAGCTAATAGACGACGAACAGAGGTGAGGAATGCGGAAAGATTAGGAAGTGTAGACTGGGTCGCAGGCCATTGAGTTGTTGCAAGTCACTGAAGAAGAGTTGAAGAAGTTCTCAGACACTAAGCAGGAGCTCATTGAAGCTCAGGAGATGCACGATATCGTCGTGAGAGAGCGGGAGAAATTGACACGTATCTCGCCATCACTGATCGGAGCACTGACTATACGCAATCATCAGGTACAGTGGAAAAGGAAATGATTGCGTTTGAGAAGCAGAGAGTTGAGATCCAAAGCATGGTGGAGAAGCTTGTATCGGAACGTGATCGTTTGACCCAAGATGTGAGTCTTCGTATGAGCAGGGCCGCAGCTTCATCTTAGAGTGTCGGTTCATAGCTTCGCGGTTCTGTGTTAGGTAGCAGAACTTGAAGGGCGAAGGAAAAGGGAAGCTTCTCTTCTGTCTGTAATTGATTCTGCCAAGAAAAGAGTTGAAGGGGATATACGCGAGTTGAAGGAAAACATTAAGGTACTTTTGAGAGACATAAGTACTGTCACCCAGAGGAGAAGCGAAATGGAAGCCGAACTAGGGGATGCTTATTTACTAAAGGAACGAATAGAACCGGAAATGGAAGATAAGGAAGCCCAGTGGGTGGAGCTATGCGAGAAAGTGGGTGCTTTGAAGAGTGAGTTGGCAGAGTATGAGAAGGAACGGAAAGGCATACTTAAGGAAATTGCACAATTGAACGATTACCGCGGTAAGCTCGAGACGAAAGTTGACGTCTTCACTAAGGAATACGAGCAAGCTAATAGCATTCTTGGAGATCTTCATGAAGAGATAAGCATGCTTGAAGAACAGAGAGATGCATTGCGAAAACTTCCAAGTGTAGATTTTTCTCAGAGGAAACCCAGTATTTCCCTTGAACACTCGCCAGGTCAGCCTTACGAGCGAAGCAACAGTGATAATATCGAGGTAAAGCCTGTCGTCTCCCCGACGAAGCGTCGCGCACGAGCCAAGTGACCTCTGATGTGTTCCTATGTGTAGCATTGGCGACTGATGTTCCGCTGCTCTTGTTTTGAGTTGCATTAGTCTGGCTCAGTTATGAGAACGATTATATATAAAGATTCATATAGTATTCATTGTATTCCATCATTGAGAAGATCCAACCTC